ATCTGACTCCACCAAATATTTATTGCTGGACTGCTTTGGCAATCCCATTCTGAGTAGACTGTATGAGGGAATGATAAGACGTTCAAAAATAAAGAGAGAGACTGTATTAGAATAAAGAACTATCTTAGGGCAGGAATTACACCTTAATAAGCATTTTATCTCTACAGCCCAGCACAGTGTATTCTATAGGTAAAATATTAAATAAACACCCTATTTACAAATCTATTCCTCTACTTCATAAATGTTTATTGATCAGCTAATATATGCCACTTTTCTACTTTATGAGGATACACAAAAAAGAAAAATATCACTGCCCTAATGGAACTTAAAGTCTACTGACAATGAGAAAAAAGTCTTGCGGAGGGGTTAACAAATTTGGTTTCTGATTTCCTCCAGTCCTCTCCCTTAAACTGAGATCTATCCAATCTATACATCTCTTCTGAGAGTCACAATGCTTTGCATGACTACAACCAGCTCCCTATGCATCAGGAGTGACAGGGAACCGGATCCTTCATGGGCCAATCCAACATTCATCCATCAGCCACAGTGACTGCATCAGTGATTGGGGTGTCTTAATGAGGCCACCAATCATTCTCTTTCCCCATGGTTTTTCAAACTGGCATTGGAACTGAGAAAGTAAATTAATCCCCAATTTGGTGAGCTAAAGAAAACATGTTTCTTAATACATAGTGAAAGAATTTGACTGATAAAAAACACACTTTCTTGAGATCTTCCTAGGGAAAACCTATCTGTTATATATTGGGCTCACACAAGCACATAAAACTAACAAGTAAAAGTTAGACTCTTCAGGAAGGAAGACGAAAAAAAGGGGGGATAGTTAACCCTCAGACTTTACTAAATAAAATATTTTTAATTACATTAAGTCAAAATAGAGTAACATTAAACATATTTTAAGGCAAAGCCAGCATATCTACTAATAAATTTGACTTCAAAAATAAAAAGGGTAACTTAATGTACCAAAAGTAGGAAAACATTTATCAAACCCCACAGAACGTATAACACAAAAAGTGAACCCTAATGTGGACCCCACCTAGAGACTGTAGTTGAAAATAATGCATCATTATTGGTTCATCTGTTGTAGCAAATGCACCATACCAATGCAAAGTGTTAATAGGAAATTATGGGGAGAGGGAGCAGGGATATGGAAATACTCTGGATTTTTCAGTCAATTTTGCAATAAACCTAAAACAGCTCTTAAAAAATAAAAATTGTTTATTAAAAAAGAGAATGAAGTGCTGGTACATGCTACAGGATGAACACTAAAGATACCATGTTAAGTTAAAAAAAAAAAAAGCCAGACACTAAAAAATCCATATATTTTATGATTCTATTTATATGAAATATCTAGTATAGGAAAATTCATAGAGACAGAAAATAGATTAGTGGTTGCCAGGGGCTGGGAAAAAGACAAAATGGGTAGTGACTGCTTAATAATTATGGAATTTTCTTCTGGAGTAATAATCTAGAACTGGATGCTGATGATGGTTGGACAACATCATGAAGGTATAAATATCACTGAATTGTATACTTTAAAATGGCTAAAATGAGTTTACGTTATGTGTATTTCACTATTGAAAAATTTAAAAACTAAAATAAATGTGTAAATACTAGTGGGAGAATAATACATAGCTTTAAACATAAACATATGAGTTTAAAAAACAGAGAAAAAATACTTGAGCCAAAAGAGACACTCCAGGATGCGACAGGTGAGTGATGACTATGATGGCTGCCACCCTAAAAGACAACAGTGTCACTAGTAGATATTCCTCATTCTCACTTCAGAAGATATCAAGACTTTTTCCAAGTCTTTCTTTTCCCATATTCTTTCTTCTTCCACTTATAGTTTCTCTTCTTTAATTCATTATAGCTTTAAAATATTTCCTACCATGTGTTGTATTTATTGCTTCTGTTTATTTATTTTGTAATTATTGATTTTAATTGTGCATTTTTTTGTTTTCAAAATAAAATTGACACCTTCGTATACACAATATAAAATTAATTTTTCTTTTTCCAGCTTTATTGTGAAATAATTAACACATATCACTGTACAAGTTTAGGGTGTACAGCATGATGTATATATGTACAGCATGTATGTACAATATGTATATATTGTGAATTGATTACCACAATAGATTTAGTTAACATCTATCGTCTCATATAGATACAATGAAAAGAAATTAATTTTCTTCTTGGACTAGAATTTCTTCTTCTTTACATTTTTTTAATATGAGTAAAGTCGACACAATGTTACATTAATTTCAGGTGTACAACAGTGATTTGACACATCTACAGGTTATGTAGTGCTCACAAGAGTAGCTACCATCTGTTATCATATAACACTATTACAATATTATTGACTATATTCCCTATGCTGTACCTTTTATTCTCATGACTTATTCATTCCATAACTGGAAGTCTGTACTTCCTGCTCCCCTTCACCCATTTTACCCATCCCCCTATCCTCTCCCTTCTGGCAGCTATCAGTTTGTTCTCAGTTATTTATAGGTCTGATTCTGCTTTTTGTTTGTTTATTCATTTGCTTTGCTTTTAGATTCCACATATAAATGAAATCATATGGTATTTGTCTTCGAATAGAATTTCTAAAATTTTTTTGCGCTCCAAATTTCCACTTTCTGAAAAAGTCTGGAATAGGAATTCTACATTTCATATGATATTTAAGATTATATCTCAGTGATCAGATTTCCTCCTTCTATTCAGCTGTATTTTCTCTTACTCTTTTTTAACTGTATTTCTTATTTCCTCAGCCCCACTGAGAAAATAGTCACCTTCGTAAAGAAACCTATAAATAATCTTTCCTTGCATTTCCTTCTCTAGGCCTAATTGCATTTCTCATTGGATTTTCTAAGAATCTTTAGTCATCACATATCAGATTATGATCAGTGGCAGGATATCAGAGTGCTTGGGATAGGATAGTTCTCAGAAGGGATCAGTCTCCAGATCAAATCTGAAGCCAGAGTGACATTAAAGCATCTTGATTTGGTAGCTGGAGGATGGTGTGAGCCCCTTCAAGCAGCTGGTGAAAGAAGAAGACTGGGACTTGGACTATAATCCTTGTTTCCAGAATCTAAGGTTGTTTATTCCCTTGGAGGTGTTGCAAAATCTCCTGGGTGTAGGAAAGATGTCAGGAGAACCCACATTAAGAGATTAAAGAATGAAGAAGGCATATAGAGTTTCAGAGAAGAAAAGTGTAGTAGAACACTTGTTGGTCATGTTATAAAGAGAGGTGTCCAGAGGCTAGTCAAGGAAGATTTTGACCCTTCCAGGAGCCATCTTTAGGGAGAGGAGGCTTGGAGGAAAGGTAATGGCCCAGTACTCGTTTCTATAGCAACTCATTGTCTGAACACATTCTCAGGTGACAGAGGGATGACTCCCTCCCTCCCTATATTGCCCTTGGCAATACCTGGGATCTATACTGTCTTGTCCCCGACCTCCATTTCTCAGTACCATCTCCCTGACATGAGCCCCTCCTGGCCTGGTCCGTTGCTCAAGCTCTGTAGGATGTATGGCTCTATGAATGTTCATGGGTCACATGCTTGTATCCCTCAGAAAGGATCAGTCCTGGGTGAGATGTATTTGGATCCAATGTCACATTCACTGTAGAGAAAGAAAATCCATTCTGATGATAACCAATGTATGGAGTATTTTAAAATATAAATTCCATTATATCAACATCCAAACAGGCAAACCAAAGTTATAGTGACATAAGAGATTTGAAGTGAAGGAACTTTATAGGGCACACAAAACAACCTATCAACACCTAGAAGTCCTTCCTCCATAGAGCAAGAATCATCAATAAGCAAGTCACCGTATTTTTAAAGATTTTAGTGAAACGTTCATGCCAACAGCATCTCCAATCAGGTCTCAGCTCTCAGCCTTGAAAGCATGGATGGCTATGCTACTTTTTTTTTCTTCTCCCTTAAGTAGATCGGTTGGGAATGTTCACTGGGGGATCAAATTATTGTCTTTTAATCCCTTTGCTTCTATTATCACTGTAAACTCTGATATCATTCAGCACTGATCCTCCACTACATGAATGTAAGCATGGACTCTCATGTTTCATTAATTACTGAATGTTCACTGAGTGCTTCCCCTATGTGACTGCTGAAAAAAGAGGCTAGGGAAAATGCACAGCAAGGATCCCCCTACAGAGGATGCTCCATACATGACTATTTACCTGACTTACCTTTTTTACAGCTCCTCCTCTTCACCAGGCCTACAATTGCAGCAAGAAGTAATACCCAAATAAGGACTATCTTCCATGAAAAAATCATCATGGGCTCTAAAATGGAAAACCCAGAATCCCATTAAATCATGAAACTGGGAAAATTCCAAGATCATTCTTTTTATCTGAGCAGCTCCTGAGCTAGAGAGGAGGGTGAGAAGTGGGTCTCTCACAGAGGAAGCTGATCTGTTCCTCTCTACTCTGCAGAACCTGAGGGGAGACCCAAAGTTTATGCTAGCTTTACTGTTTGCTCCTGTCAGAAATACACACACACACACACACACACACACACACACACACACACTTTTCTTTTCCTGTCTCTTTTCCAATTATATCACCACCATCACTGGAATAACAAGGGTAGGAAAAGGATAAAATTACCTAATCCACAGGCATGAAGATGGTGTTAAGGAAAACTAGTTTCTAATCCCAGAGACAATCCACAGTAAAGAAAAAAAAAGTGATATTGGTTTCACATCAGAAGAAGAGAGTTTGTCCTTACAGTGATGGTAGAGTCGTCTTAGAAGTTAGTGTATATGCAACAATATAACCTTAAGGCTTTAGTAAAGGGATGTCAGTAGGATCTCCAGGTGTCCTGAAGACCATTTTTGTAAGAGATAGCAGGTGATTTTATCAGAGAGAAGAAAATAAAAATTTAAAATAGTAGAGCAATAAAATAAGTAAGTCTGGGTTTGCCTTCATATGTATTCCCCAAAGTTGAGAGGAACACATGGAGTCACCAACCTGAGAGAAAAAAAGTTGCCATTTTCTCCTCATCAAGAAGGGGGTTACTAATGGAACAAGTTACGTTCACAAAAGAGCTGTTTGTGACCAATAGAGATGTCTCCACATGGAATAGCCCATGGCTGTCTTCAGTCAGAACCTCTGAAAATGATGGTATTATCTTTCCTTCCATGTCCTTCCATTGCACATGGGGCTCTGGGAACCACCCTTCTGAACTGCATATCAGCTCTATTTCTCCATCCTTCTGTTCCTTTACAGTGATCAGTGGGGAAGAACCCAGACCTGGGGAAGAGAGATCAAGGAACAAAACCTAGAGTGTCTGCAAGTGGTTATATGGTTATATGGTTATATGGTTATATGGTTATATGGTTATATGGTCATATGGTCCCAGTAACTTCACTGAGAGGAAAGAGGGGAAAGGCTTGGCTGAGAGAACAAAGCTTATAGTGGAATTATACTCCCCTTAGGGATGAGACTAGCGGGAATGGCTTCTAGTTTTGTTACGTTTGGTTTATTTTTATTTTTTGTATTCCTAAAGTCATCCTCAGAGTCACAGGAAAAGTAAATTTTAAGGCCAATCTTTTCTCTTCTGTATCTGAAAACAAAATAGCTTTGACCAAGACATGAATCACATGGACAGGATTAAGGAAAGTTAGTAAAAGAATATCCTCAAATATCAAGATTTTATAAACATGTACATCCAGTGGCAGAAAATAATAGAGTCCATTTAACTTCTCAATATGTACCCCTGTGGATATTTCATGAATATGTTTATGAATTGAGACCCAAAATCAATGGAAGAAACAAATCAATTATCCAAAATGTTGGCCTATGTCTTCAATGGCATTTGCTAACCTTGAAAAATCAATTCTTACTCACAAATATAAACAGTGGGAAATTATGACGCAGGGAGTGATTTTGTCTTTCTTCTTCCATCCTGCCAGTTCTGTTGATACTAATTTTGCTTTTATGTGGATATAGTTTAGTCTTCACATAATTATACTTCCTAGTAACCATACATTGTTCAGAATTTTAAGAACACTCTGTGAAATAATGAGTTGTATGTAGAGTTATGGAGTAAAATTCTCAAATTTCACTAAATGTGTGGTCATTTTACAGAGATCTTGGGAAGTGTACAATTTCTATACCCAGAGAATTAAATCTGGTCCATGTGAGTTTGCGAACTTTAAGTACGTACTACAGTTCTTATGCATCAGAGGGTTTAATATAAATTTGACAAGTGAATGGACATTCCAAAAATTTCAAGTACCAGGGAAAATTTCCAGGAACTAGCATGTTAAAGCAGTAGGAACAAAGGTTGAATCCAAAACATCTGGAATCCTTACCTACTATCTTCAGATCCAAACTGGCCTCCTGATAGACACCATCTTTTTCAAAAAGGCACCGGTACTGCCCATTATCTGACGTTGTGGCATTGTGTATCTGCAGGGTCAGTCTCCCCTCGTCAATGGCATCACTCACCAACATTGTCCTCCCTCTGTATTCTTCCATCTGCTCTTCAGTCACATGTCCCCCATCCGCATACACGTAAACAGCAGGATAACGGTGTGATTGGACCCACCTCACCTCCATGCTCTGTGCATTAGTCTTTGGGGACAGGTAACAAGTTAATTGTATGTCTTCTCCCACTCTGACAAGGATGGGTTGGGGAGGTCCAATCACTTCTAAGGAAGCTATGAAATACAACAGACAAAACACAATGAAAGACACAAAATGGAGCAAATAGTGTCATCAGTAGGAAAATCTCAAGTGGGGTTTAGAACCCAGGGGCATCCCAGGGGAGCTGTGAGGCACAAGGTCATCCTTTAGAGATGGGGAGGCTTGGTGGAATCAGGATAGAGCTTGTCCCTGGAAAAAAAGAACCATTAATGGAACCCACACCTGCCTCGACCTATTTTAATCAGATTACAGCCCAATAAAATAATTTTGCAATTAATACTCCTAGAATAAAAATAATATTTTATCACTTCACATTGGTATGAGCTCCTTAAACTACTTCTCAATCTGTGTATGCCTCAGTTTCTTAAACTGTGAAATAAATATATCAATCCCTTCTGGAGTTAAGCAAAATCATCTATATAAAGCTTTTGGATGACTATGCAGTGTGAGTGGAGGCATGCAGACCGTGAAACTTGAGGGCACTGAAGCCAATCCCTCTGCCTTGTTAATGATAAGGGATAAAAATGAGTTTCAGGTGGATTTTTAGTAATGAAATGTGAAGGAACCTTCCCCTGGTTTGATTTTTATAACACCTTATAAGTCAGATCCAGCTTCCATGTTTTAGTTCTGTGAGATCCCTCATATGTGGAGCTCTAAACACACACCAGGTTCAATGTCCTCAGATTATTTTGGAGAAACATTATAACACCAAGAATTGGGGAGGTTGGCAAAATATAAAACACAAAACAACAATGAATACACAAAAAGTCTAATCCTCCCATTGTGAAAATTGGAGATTTTCTCTAATGGCTTTCCAGTTCATCAGGCTCTGGCATGCTAGTTTTTCTCTGTTCTAAATTGAGAGTCATCTTTTCCAATCAAACAATAAAAATGCTTTCACATAGGTTATGATCATTTATAATAGAAATACAGGCATAAATTTGTATATTGTTGGTTGAGAGTCAATGACCAAAGGCAAAATGTCCTCATTATGTAATTAGCTAAAATCTGCTTAGGTACTTCTTTAGGAAAGGAAACTTACTGTCAATCAATACAAACCTAATTTTCAGATTATTCCCTTCTATTCTAGCTAGAATTTGACTACCAATTACTTCCAGCATTTTGTTTGCTTTATCTTTCAATTTTACCTAAAATAAGATCTCCATTGTATATGTATCTGTTAAAATCTGGAGACAAAAGTAGGAGTCAGAAAAAATGAACTAGGGATTGGTCTGCTGTTATTTCTACTTCCACGTATTTTACAGTAAATTACTTAATAAAACAGACAATTTCCTTATCTCCATTACCCATATGAGTAGGTGCATGACAGATATATGAAACACCTGTTATTCCAGAATCCAAGTGAAAAATAAAGTTGGAAGTATGGGGGAAAAAATCATGCAGCCCAATCTGTTAATAAGTGATATTCTTCTAGAATACCAGCTCCTTGAGAGAAGCTCTGCATAATCTCCTTTCTTTATATACTTTTGTATATATTGGGGGCCTTCTACACAATTTGTGCTCACATTTATTGTTTTGTTCTATTATTGGGGTGTTGTACGTATGTTACTGAAAGGCCCTCTGAATATTCACTGAAAATTAAATCCTCTCTGGAGTGTGCAGTTCACCGAATATACATCAATTCCTTGAAACATGATAATCCCATCATCATGTCATATAATCCTCTTTCAATCAGCATATTTAATTAAGTGGGTTATCTCATTTCCTCAATATGCTATATTTTTGTATCATATATTATATTAATATCATATCATATCCAGTGTAGAGCTTAATACTACATCAGAGATTAAATTCAACATGTTCATTTTGAAGATGAGGGAAATAGAGACCAATGATTTACAAAAATCACACATAAGTGATTAAAAACTTGCACTCTTAAGCCAGGTTAGAGGGCAAATATCACAATTTCTCAATGGGTTTCCCACAAACCACATATATCTATAAGATTTTGCCAGCTGTAAAATGATAAATTTATTAACTTTTATAATTATTGTAAGAAAAAGAAATAATCTCTGTAAAGCATTTAGCATCACACCTGGCATATAATTAATATTTCTTAAAACTAGTCATTATTTTTATAAGATTATTTGATGAAGGGAAATGGTGGAGGTGGGCTAGATGAGTGATGGGCATCAAAGAGGGCACTTGCTGTGACGAGCACTGGGTCTTGTATGTAAGTGATGAATCACTAAATTTGACTCCAGAAACCAATATTGCACTGTGTGTTAACTAACTAAAATTTAAATAAAAAAAAAGATTATTTGCCAGAGTGAGAACTGGAATTCCAGTCCTAGAACTTCTTTTTTTTTTTTAAGATTTTATTAATTTATTTGAGAGAGAGAGAATGAGAGATAGAGAGCACGAGAGGGAAGAGGGTCAGAGGGAGAAGCAGACTCCCCGCTGAGCAGGGAGCCCGATGTGGGACTCGATCCCGGGACTCCAGGATCATGACCTGAGCCGAAGGCAGTCGCTTAACCAACTGAGCCACCCAGGCGCCCCCAGTCCTAGGACTTCTATAGCAAGCTCAGTTTGCCAGCAGCCAACTGCAGGGGGTCCTTGTCTCCAAGTTCTAATTCATGAGGATAATACAGAGGTAGATGTGAAACTCCTGGTACCCTCAGTCAACAACCCTCAAAGTTCTAAGGGTGTAGATCTGTAACACCCACCTAACAGGGAGCCAAGGGTAGCTCCATATTTTCATCATGTTTTACTGTGGTCCCAGAAGGTCAGCACAACTAGGAACAACACAACACCCGATTGTATTGTGTGTACTGGGTCTCCAGTGGACATGTCAGAGTGGTTCAAATAACTCAGAGGTGTGACTCTTCACCTAAAGTCTTCCTGAGGATGATATTCGTTGTGGATTTTTCATAGATGGCTTTTATGATATTGAGGTATGTACTCTCTATCCCTACACTGTGAAGAGTTTTAATCAAGAAAGGTTGCTGTACTTTGTCAGATGTTTTTTCTGCGTCTATTGAGAGGATCATATAGTTTTTGTCCTTTCTTTTATTAATGTAGTGTATCACGTTGATTGATTTGCAGATATTGAACCAACCTTGCAGCCCAGGAATAAATCCCACTTTCTCATGGTCAATAATCCTTTGAATGTACTGTCGGATCCTACTGGCTCATATTTTGGTGAGAATATTCGCATCCATATTCATCAAGGATATTGGTCTATAATTCTCCTTTTTTGTGGGGAGCTTTTGCACAGCAAAGGAAACAATCAACAAAACCAAAAGACAATCAACAGAATAGGAGAAGATATTTGCAAATGACATATCAGATAAAGGGCTGGTATCCAAGATCTATAAAGAACTTCTCAAACTCAACACCCAAAGAATAAATAATCCAATCAAGAAATGTGCAGAAGACATGAACAGACATTTCTGCAAAGAAGACATCCAAATGGCCAACAGACACATGAAAAAGTGCTCAACATCACTCAGCACCAGGGAAATACGAATCAAAACCACAATGAGATATCACCTCACACCAGTCAGAACGGCTAAAATTAACAAATCAAGATATGACAGATGTTGGCGAGGATGCAGAGAAAAGGGAACCCTCCTACACTGCTGGTGGGTATGCAAGCTGGTGCAGCCATGCTGGAAAATAATATGCAAGTTCCTCAAATAGTTGAAAATAGAGCTACCCTACACCCCAACAACTGCACTACTGGGTATTTACCCCAAAGATACAAATGTAGTGATCGGAAGGGGCACGTGCACCCCAATGTTTAAAGCAACAATGTCTGCAATAGGCAAACTATGGAAAGAGCCTAGATGTCCATCAACAGATGAATGGATAAAGAAGATGTGGTGTGTGTGTGTATATATATATATATACACACACACACCATATACACAGTGGAATATTACGCAGCCATCAAAAAATTGAAATCTTGCCAATTGCAACAACGTGGATGGAACTAGAGGGTATTATGCTAAGCGAAATAAGTCAATCAGAGAAAGACTATTATCATATGATCTCACTGACACGTGGAATTTAAGAAACAAGGCAGAAGATCATAGGGGAAGAAAGGAAAAAATGAAACAAGACAAAACCAGAGAGGGAGAAAAACCAGAAGAGACTCTTAATCTCAGGAAACTAACTGAGAGTTGCTGGAGTGGAGGGGGATGGGAGGGATGGGGTAGCTGGGTGATGGACATTGGGGCGGGTATGTGTTATTGTGAGTGCTGTGTATTGTGTAAGACTGATGAATCACAGACCTGTACCCCTGAAACAAATAATACATCATATGTTAATAATTTTAAAAAATTAGGGGAGACATTTTGCGTAAAAATCAAAACAAAAAAATAAAGGGATTTTAAAAGTAAAAATTAATTAATTAATTAATTAAATTAAAAAAATAAAGTCTTCCTGAGGGACAGAGACATGTGTCAACCTGCCCCAACACTGGTCTGATCTGTAACTAACAAGTTCTGCTGGTTAAGGTTTCTGTCTGATCATAAGCAGATGCTACGCAGGCAGAAGGGGATCTGACTTGGAAGGTATGGCTTACAGGGGTGGAACTTTCCTCAGATTGTGGAGTTACCTTTGACCTTCCTGAGGCCATTCCCTTTATCTTTATGGCCTTGATGGGCTCGAAAGTGTCACACTAGACTCTGGCAGATATTGGGGTGTGTCTGTACGCTCAACCTCACCTAATCTGCAATAGGCACATGTGCACGCACACATTCCTATAACCAGTGACTTGAGGGTGAGCAGGATATTGATGGAAAATGAGTGATACAAAGTCATATGCATCTGGGCACGGAGCAGGCTGGTTATCATGGGCTGGGAGAAAAGGTCACAGGAAGGAGGAAGATGATAAGTGGGTAAAGGAGAAACTGAAAGGGGCTCAAATATCAGCTGGTTACTTTTTAAACCACTTATCTTTATCTTAGGTACAGTAAAATAATTGCAGTCCAACTGTTAAGGAAAAAAAAAAAAGAAGAAAAACAGGAAAATGATTGAAGGACCCAGGCAGTGTCCCAGGCTACATCTAGGAAAGTAATGGCTCCTGCCCAGTATGATGAGGTTAGGATCCACTGGGGTGAGGAGAAGGTGTAGAAACCACAGCAAGGCCAGAGTGTTGATGTGATGGGTGATGATCTCCAGTTACCATGAGGACACTGCCTTCACACTAGAAAGATTTTAAAAGGGCCTCCAGAGACCCACCATCTGTCCTATACCAACCCTTACACACAAGTAGAGCAGAGATCATGTCTGTGTCCCTTACAGGCATCCATCTGAGGCTCCGTGGGTCCCAGTGAACACTTAAAGTCATAGGTTATGCAGTGCAAAGGTGCCTGAAGGAGGCTGTGTTTTACCTGTCCCTTCTGGTACTAACTGAACTTGAGACTTAAAGTCATGTCTCTGTTTCTCATCTGGATTACGAGTTGTCATGGTAGCTCCCACTGGCTTTGTCCAGGGATTATCAATTCCCTTTGGGGCAAGCAGGGTCTCCTTTATACTAGTGCATCCAGTGTCTACTTACCTAGCTCATTCTGGAGTTTCTCTGGAAAAAGAACAAGGATAATATATTAGGGAATTTGATCTAAGGGAAAGGAGAGAAAATATTTAAAAATAAAAGAAAGCTCTACATTTTATTAAAAAGCTCAGTTCATCACTGGGCTATGGGAATTAAGGAGGGCAAGTTCTGCATGGAGCACTGGGTGTTACACGCAAACAATGAATCAAGGAACACTGCATCAAAACTAATGATGTAATGTATGGTATCTAACATAACATAATAAAAAAATTAATGAATAAATAAATATAAAGCTCAATTCATAAAAAAGAAATTAGAGAAAAATCTTCTTTCCTGTAGAACACCTAGTGATCCAGCTATTTTTCCTTTTGTTTGCATAACAAAAAGCGTCTCAGTTCTATTACCTCATGATTGTTTATTTATGTTGATAATTAACATATTGATATTTAGTATCTTGTAAAAATGATACATATTCTTCTTGTAAGTGCATGGAAAGTATAAAAATATACGGACATAGACAATTATCACCTCTAATTCCAAACTGAGAGATAAAACATATATAAAGCATTTATAATATGTATTCATATATACAATATATAATATATATTCAGCTCCTTTTAACATTCACATGTGACATTTACTTAAAATCCTTTCATATATCCATTTATATGAGTAAGAATAACTATATCCTTATATCTAAATATAGAAGGTGTCCCAAAAATCTTAGTGCAGTTTTTAAGTTATTTAAAGCCATTATTCTTTACATGATTGGAAATGTTTATAGATAGATAGATAGATGATAGATAGATAGATAGATGTAATCTTTATATAAATAGTCCACCATAAGGATTTTTTCAACCATAAAAATCATTTGAAAATACCATTTTTCATCAATGCTATAATTTATAGTCACATTAGATATTTAACACTCACTCCACTGTTGTATTGTGCCTTTCTCTTTACTGTTGTTTTTGTTGCTATTTATAAATGAGGCTATAATTAAGATGCTATTATGTAAATAGTTATCTCCATCTCTGATTATCTTCACATGACAGGTTCCAGAAGCAACTGGCACAATGTGGTATAGGAAAACATTTTAATTGAAAGAATATAGTTTTATTTTCTTTATCATGTGATGCATACTTGTGAGTAAAGAAAATTAGTTCAGAAAGAAGAAGAGGTGGAACTTGAAAATAACTGGAATACCGTTAACAATAGCTGTTTAATCAAAATATAGTATATATTTCCAGCCATAAATAGTTTATATGTTTTAATACATATTACTAAATTTTAGATATTTTCCTTAATAAAAAAATACTAGGTGCTATGGAACAGTCCTTTGAACCTTTCCTGTTAATCACTTTGCACATTAGCACATTGGTCCTAGAGGCAGAGCTCTGACCTGGAATGGAGATGACTGAGCTCTTCTCTTCATTGAGGATGGGGTTGTGGATGAAGCAGGACACGGTCTCCACAGAATCATTCCTGACCACAAGAGTGGCTTCCACATAGAACAGGCCATTGTCATCTTGGATGGAATGCTCAGAGACAGCCAGCAACTTCTCTCCTGTGATATCTGCCCAATAAACCTGGGGCTCTGGGAACCAGCCTTTTGCAGTGCACACAAGCTGGACTCCACTTTCCACAGGTCCCTCCAGGTGGATGTAAGGGGCAGACCCCAGACCTGTGGAGGGAAGATACACCCCTAAGGCCTGGAGTCCATGGAGGCACAAACCATAGAAACCAAGATCCTGGTGACATTGCTCATAGGGGTAGGGCAGGAGTTCATGGGTCCCAAGTCCTCTTCCCATTCAAATTGGAGTTCATATAAACTTTGCTGGTTCTCCATTCTGGATCTTTAAACTTTACCATATGAGCAGTCTTTTTCTTCAGATCCAGACAGGAGGAGAATAAGAGAAAGGGACATAATGACATTTTGCTTAGTCACTAGTACTGCCAACAAAGACGTGTTATAATTTATTCATTGAGCTTCCCCAAGCCACAAACTCTGTCTGACATTTTAGATGCTATCTTGACTCTGATTAATTAGAATGTTTAATATAAAGCCAGAAATCATCTCCAGGGACTATTCTTCACATTCTTTCTGGTGGTGGTTGTGATCTTGGGGAGCAAGTAGATAACCTGTTACATAGAGTGGGATGCCCCAGGAGGAGCTCTTGTTGCTAAATATTCCTTACAGCCAATGGGAAAATGTTTTTGAGAAATCCTGGTTTTATGTAGTCATGAAATTCTTTCTTTATCCAACACTGCTCTCAAACCCAAACAAAGGGACTATATTTCCTATGGATGATAAATCTCTATCACTTGGTGGGGAAAGAGAATCACTCCCTCCACCTACAGCCTTAGGAAATGTGTGGCTTATTTTCAAATGTTCCTGATAGTGAACAGCTGCCTTCCTCTCTCCATATCTCAGAAATACATAGATTCTTTCATCCGTCTTCGATCACCTATAACATAACTATAATAATCATAGTCACAGGTGTTAAGAAAAAATGGTGTTAGGAAACAGCTTTCATGTGAGTCAGAAATGGTAACATCTCTAGAGAACAATTTCCCTGAGAAGATCAGTGGATTTGCCTGATTTTCTCTTTAGCATATGGGAGAGTTATTCTTGCCAGGGAACTAGATGATTATTTACTTTTCAGATATGCGTTTTCCCCCGAGAACAGATCCTTTTTCTCAACTGTTTCCCACTTTGCTACTACAAAAGCATCAGGCAAAACCCTGTCATTCACAGTGGTATGTCCAAATGCATCTGGAGTCCCCAGTTCATTGAACACTAATATTTAATAATCTCCATAAAAGCACAGTTCTTAACCTCTTTGTTCCCAGCACTAGCTTTCCCACAGGAGGAATTCCAGAAAGAAACATAATTTGCGCATTTGGTTATTGCATATTGGAGGTTGGGTAGAGAACAATGCATTCCATTGAGTTTTGGTTGCTGGACAGTCAGCTAGATTCACTCACTCAGTGATTGACTTGCCCTAACACATCAGCCTGGTACAGCACAAATTTGTGCCTCAGTAAAATTGCTAATGACCGGATGTCATGGATTGCAATTAGTGGTCAAGAATAGTCAAAACTGCATAAACTTGAGAAGGTTGTTTAAGCGAGCTTGCTTTGAAGACTTCAGGATTACTTGCCTTCAAATGAATCAGGACAGAGGACTGGCCATTAGGAATTGCCTTGAGGATTAAAAGGGAATTTTTCAACTAGCCATAGGTTTACCACAAATTAATATACTTCTCCCTCCAAGACTTTGTCTTTTCCAAAATATTCACCTGCTACTTTAACCAGCAAGCTTGTTTCTCCACAATAGTTATTCTCTTGGAAATGGCACCAGTATTGCCCATTATCAGATGGTTGGATGTTGTTTATCTTCAGAGTCACATTTCCCTCATGAATGCCATCCTTTATCAACTCTACCCGGCCTCTGTACTCCTCCATCTGCATCTCAGTCACATCAGCTCCATCCCAGTATACAAACACAGGTGTGCTGGGCTCCAAGCGGTACCATGTCACCTTCGTGTGCATTGTGGTTCTCTTGGGGAGGAGCTGACAGGTTAGTAGGGCATCTTCCCCAATCCTGACCAGGATTGGATGTGTAGAACCAATCACTCTCCAGTTATCTACAAAACAGAGTGAAGAAGAGGAACCAGGAAATGCCAATTGGAAGATTAATATACTTGCTTTGGGATGTCCAACCTATCAAAATGGAGGCACCTGGAGGAGGGAGGGCTTTATTTTCAATGATTTAGAGAAATCTAAATGGTTTGCACATTTGGCTGTTAAAAAGACAATTCTGTGTAGTACTGAAAATAACATGCAGTTCAAAAATTTGAGTGTTAGTGCTAAATCTGTCATCAGCTGTGTGATTTGGGGAGCAAACCTACTATTTTCAGTGAGATTTGAGATTTGGAATCTCAATTTCTTCATCTTTAATATACTAAAGCCACCTTCTCTGGGTTGTTTTTATTCTCTAATAAGTTAATGTGTAAATTGATTTTTTACACTGAGAACTTTGTTAGTGATTTGTTTTATATTTTATAGTAATTTATTTTATAGTTAGTGATTCCACTTTATATTGTTAGTGACTGATTTCATAATCATTTTCCTAAAATTTAGGTAATAAATTCATTCATTAGAGTTTTCAGCTTTTCAGGATTGCTCTGGTTCTAGGTAAGGACCTAGGATTATTTTTTAACTTTAAAAAATTTTTGGTCTGGAGTAGGCAAGGCTCCAGTTACTGGAGCTTTGTATGTACAATGCAGTTTTGTGCAAGGACATTTTGTGATGGATTAAGGGCAGTGGCTTGTCTAGAGAGTTTGAAACTTTTAATCAAATTTTGAGTCATGTTTGACCACTTGTCATTATGTGCAAATCGAAAGGATATTTAATAATTCCATGTGTTGTTATGCTTAATAATCTCAAAAGTCATATATATTATATTCTTCCTTATCCTAAAATGCTCCAGAACTATTTGTACTTTCTCTGTCACATCCAATTATCCTAAGAAGGAAGGAACTTCAACTTGCTCACTTGCTGATGAATATCAAATAGATGCTGGTCAAAAGGTCACTACAGAGCTTAAGTGGAGATCTGCTTGCATTCTTCATTTATGGAATCCACATATGAAGCTAGATCTGAAGTCATTCCATCTGGTTGACTTCTTTTACAGGCTAGGAAATTGCTTTATACAGAGGTCAGGACAGCCTCATGTCACATCATGTAGTTTCTGGCAGCCCTGTCTGGAGCCTGAGCCTTCTGGTGCCCTGTCCAATGTTTTTTCCACTTCTGCATGTTGTGTTTTCTTTGGGACTCTGGCATTTCCCCCTGACAATGAATTTTCATAATCCCTTTTTGAGGTACAATTCAGCCACTGAGATTTCCAAATCCATTTCTTGGAAATCTTCTAATTTCTTGTTTCCAAGTATTTTTATGCTGTTTAATTTGTGGTAAGAAGCAGCCATTTTCCTTGCCCCCAAAGTTCTGTCCTGCGTGGAAGCAGGAAAACGGATGAATAACTTAATGTGTTCCAGGTACTTCTTCATGTGCAGCCTCATTTAATCCTAAAGCCTGTCCTAGCCTTTAAGACATAGGTATGTTGTTATTCTTATCACAAAGATGAGGAAACTAAGGCAGAAGGCACTCAAGTCACTTTTCAAAGGTAACCCAGCTAGAAGTGGAGGACCCTTTCTGGAACACAGATGCATTGGTTCCTGGACCCCCAGTCCTAATATTGTCCTAGCCCTTTTGAATTGGAACTCTGCATGTGGACTATATCACTGGGACATTTAGATATACAGTAAAGGGAAGAAGGGTATCCTACCCGGCTGCCTCATGGTGAGCAGTACGAAGAAGAAAGAGGCAACTGCACCAGACAGACTGTATCCTGGAAAATCCACCATTCTCCCTACAGTAAACACAAAAGAAAAATATGAGTACACCCAAATGATTCTGTAATGGAGCAGGGTCACTCTGTTGTTTCCAACAGTTACATAGTCACAACGAGGAATCAACATAACCCCTCCACAATCAAACAAGGAAATGGACTTGGCTCAATTTCTCTGCAGTTACTGATCATTTCTGACCCCTTACCTCATGTGTTGTATTTTAAACTATTTCTTTTAGGCTTGAGGGAAGATTTCTGATTGAAATGAAAAGCCCTCCTGAGTTCAAGGGACAATAATATTTATATGTTTTTAAAAATCTCCTAAGGTCCATTTATTCTGAGCATGCAGAAATTATATAGTAGGATTCAAATGTTTTTCCTTGCCCTCCTCCCAACCCCTCCTGCAAAGTTCTTCATCACCACCCTCTCCTAGGTGTACAGGAAAGAACAGGAAGGCTCTGCATCCTCACTCTTCAGCCAGGAAGCCATCGCTAGTGCCTTGGGAGAAACCAAGGGCCAGGGCACACCTTGGAAAGTGGAGGAAAGAGTGGTGGAAATGGGGCTACAGGAAGAGACCACCAAGGAAACTACCCTAAATGGCCTTTCAATGTTATCTTGGAACACAAAGGAATGAGTAAAAGAAATAACCCAACTGCAGAGATCGGCAAACCCAACATGCTTACTATACCAGCATTATAAAAATGCTTCCACACAGCTAAGAAGTTTTAAAACTACCAAGACAAAAATCAAATGCCAGCTTTAAGTTTTGAAAACTGAAAAATTCAGAGTGGAAGAAGCCTAAGACTCATTCCATCTGACGTGTCCAGCATTTTACTGCTTCACACCAACTAGAAGAACCCGTTCAGGAGCAATGATAAGCTGGCGATTGCTTCTCTTTACCCAGAAACTAATACCAGTAAGATTCTATAGGGCAAGGGAAAAGCAGCAGTCACTGAAATAAGGACTATAAACCAAGTGGTTCAGGAGATTATTTATACTCTATTATGACTGCTTTTTAAAATGATGCATACTTTCATCTAAAATACTTCTAGGGAAACTAATACAAGCTCAGTTGTACACACTTAGACACACAAGAGCGCTCAAAGTTCAATATGAAAATGGGGCCAAGCATTAGGAGACAGCATAGACCATCCGTAGCTCGCCACTGGAGACAGTCACTTCCCCTCTGAATGAAGGAGATTGCTGATGCCTCCTCTTGTGAAAAGCAAAAATGTTTTGTTCTACCCAGTAAGAGCAAATACAGCGTGCAAAACTCATGCCAATCACCATCCCTCAGTCATATGAACTAAGAAGGACCCACATTTGCTACAAACCAGTTTATAGATGTGTGTTCCTTTAGGTCTTTCATGTTAAAGCAGGGGGAGAACCTACAAATGCAACTAGAAAAAAATTGCTCAAATTAATGAAGCTTTTGAAGAAAGTTGTGAAAATGCACCTTACCCTTCACTGGTGCTCAGAGAGAAATTCATGAGCGAGTATAAACAGGGAGAATAACTGCCTTAGATAGGGTTTTGAATGGGAAAAGGGACAGTCTTGCCCTTGGAGGGTCTTTGGCAATGCCTGCAGAAATTTTTGGTGGTCACAGCTGGGGAAAGGGGACAACCAATGAGCTGCTACACATCCTACAATTCACAGGAGAACTGCTACAGCAAAGAATTATCCAGCTTAACATGTCATTAATGCCAAGGAAAAACACTACCATAGACCATCTGCTGTCAGTATGCTGAAAATCTTTGGCAGATTTTTACTAAATAAACAACTGGACTTATATTGCAAACTTTATGTTAAAACATTTTCATTACCAGGTTTTTGACATCTCTATTTTACCATTTGAACATAGGCTGAGAATCTTCTAAAACTGCCATTGCTACTAAATATGGTAAAACTTTGGTATGTCAAGAGATGTGATCTAATATGCATATGTACCATCGAATGTTCAAAAACCCATGTTTCGTTTAATTTTCTGGATAAAGTGTACGTGTTAAGATGGGATGATAAGTGAGTGATAAGTGGTGGTTTGTGTTGAGGCTTTAGGTGAATAACAATTCTGAATTCCAAGGTCTATGCATGTCCTGTTAAAATTCATACCAAAGAAAATTACAAATTACTACATGTCATGAGTCATTAGAGGTGTTTTTCTTTTCAGTAAAAAACCTCAAATGTTAAATTCTCAAAATGCCAAGTGACCACAGTAATTAACGGGTGAGAATAAATTTATTCAGTTCACAAAGTTTGAAGTTTATATACCTATATTAATTTTAAAAATAAATATAACTGATCATATGTTAACACATTTTTGTAGACAGAAAGCAAAGTAAATTAGAATTCTAGGAGACAAGGTGACTTTGTGTTTACTTCTGTAGACCCCAAGAATCTCACTTTATTTTCTTGAACCTCTCCTGTCTCTCTTCTCTGATGGAGACACTCATTCCTAACCTTGCTTCCGCTGTGTCATCAGCACATGACAGACAAGCAAGGCCCAGAGACACAGCACAACATCATGCATGACAAATGAATAACGTGATCCTACTCTTCTGAGTTGTAATCTAGTACCCTCACCTGGCCTGCTGCACAGCAATATATGAGGATCACATAAGTTATGGTAGACTTTGAAAAACATGGAGTGGGGTACGAGTATCAGATGCAAGTGGAAGGTATTATGGCAAGTGGTAGAGTTTCCCTGTGGGTGCTGACTGTCCACATGCCCCACTTCCTCATCTTAGTCGACTTCCCCAACTTCCCTGGTCATCCTCCACCAGGGCCCCGTCAAGCCACTCACGGGTCTCCTCTTTCCTTCAGCGTAAAACCGGGGGCTGCTGGGTCTTCTCCTCAGTGGGTCTCAGGTGTACCCTTCATCCACACAGCAGGTGTCCAAAGGCAGGTCAGGGTCCTAGGGTGCTGACCAGAGTGAGAACTGTGGGACTGCCAGCCGGCATGGAGGTAGCCCCCCAGGGCCCCAGCTTTGGGTGAAGGGAGATTGTGCTGCTTCACCCAAGCTGAAGGGACAGCCTAGTCCTGGAGGCCCACCCTGAACATGAGATTCCAATCAGACTACCATGCTCACCTCCTACCAGCTATAATCCTCAGAAAAGTGAAACTCAGACATGTGGACTTTGACTGGGTTCAGTTATGAGTTCTTCAGGCTTGCAGACACAACTGTGACATTAGCACTCCTCACCAATCTCAGAAAGCCAGGGCACTCCTGCTGGGCCCCATTTGACGCCCAGTCTCTGCCATCTCCAGTCAGATCCTCACATAGCACCTGCTACTGGAGGTCTCTCCTCACCCTTCTCCCCACCTCCCACATCAGTGTCAAGTTTGCACCTGAATGCAGATTGCTAGGGCTTAGAGTTAGAAGCAAGACTAAAAAGCAAATGCCCCATCCCTGCTTTTGCTGGTGAGAAAACAGAGGCCAGAGGAAGGGATTGCTGTCCCAGCATCATGGCACCCAGCCAAGGTCTCATATGTGCAAGTTTATTGCTCTTTTTATCTTGGTTCTTTATCCCCCTTTGCTGAGTCAGACATTGACTCTCAGATACTATGGAAATTTAATAAGCTTCTCAACCAAATGTTTGGGCACAAAAATTATAATGATTAAGACTACAGACACTTTTTGGTGTGTGTTCTTGTTTAGGTTAGATTTTCCCTTAAATTCTCCTTAAGTCAATTTTCTTGAATCAGACCGCAAGTCCCCCTGGGGTTCTGCAGAGATATTCTCAGGGATTCAAGAGTTCTCCAGAATAATTTAAAATTTAATGTTAGGGAGCCTGGGAGACTCAGTCAGTTAAGTGTCTGACTTAAGCTCAGGTCATGATCCTAGAGTCCTGAGATCAAGTCCAGAGTCAGGCTTCCTGCTCAGCGGGGAGTCTGCTTCTCTCTCTGCCACTCCCCCCACTCTTGCTCTCTCTCTCTCTCTCAAATAAATAAATAAAATCTTTAAAAAAATAAAATAAAATTTAATTTAGATGTTCATCTCAATATAAAATATAAGCATTTGTGATATTATGATGTGATATGGCCTGAGCTGATTTTTTTTCCCGAAGTGTCTTCCCTCCCCTGTTATGGTAATCCCATATTTGGGCACCTAACTTGAAATTACTATTCTTAATGTAAGATTTCTTCCTTTCATCCTTCAGTGTAGATGAAGACCCTTTCCACTGTGGAGAAAGAGGACTTTGTGTCTTTACACTTTCTCTCTCTCAATTTGGTAGATAGGAGAAGTGCCCACTACCTCTGGTTCCCAGAGTGGCTACAGTGCCACACACTTCCTTCTTCCACAATAAAATGGAAGCAGCAAAGGAAAGTCACCCAAGGCAAGAAGGGTTGGGCCTTGTAAGGCTCAAATACAGAGGGAAAGTTTGCTACTTAGAATGCTGGTGTGGAATGATACAGCAAGAGGGGAGTGATGTTGTGAAAAGAAGAGCCATCATCAAAACTATGGGAAGAACAGTGACCACCAGGAGGTAAGATGTAACCAAGACATATGGAGTCATGGTGGAAATATGAGGACAGCCTTCCACACCAACCCTGCATCATCTCTACCTCAGGACAGAACTAACCCTAGGCAGAGGGCTGTTTTTAAATTATTAATTGTTGTGAATGCCACTGAGTTTCCCCAGAAATTACTATCTTAATTCCTCTGCTATAAGACATTATAGTGTTTGACATAAAAATAAGGATCAGTAATAGGAAATACAGAAATATATTTTATTATGTTGTGTTAATCACCATACCTCATTAGTTTTTGATGTAGTGTTCCATGATTTATTGTTTGCGTATAACACCCAGGTCTCCATGCTGAATGTTCCCTCTTTAATACCCATCACCAGGCTAACCCACCCCCCCACCCCCCTCCCCTCTAGAACCCTCAGTTTGTTTCTCAGAGTCCAAGTCTCTCATGGTTCATCTCCCCCTCTGACTCCCCCCCTTCATTCTTCTCTTCCTTTTTTTTTTAACATATAATGCATTATTCATTTCATAGGTACAGGTCTGTGA